CTAGTTCCAGCGGAAGTGGATCTGACGTGGGCGGTCAGCACCTTCCTTTACCAATGGCTTATGGAACTCACGTCCTGCACGAGAGTGGATATTTGCCCAACAAAACTCACAGTAATACTGCAGGCAAGTGACATTGGCACAAAAAAAGGGAGCAAATTTCCCACCACAGCGTGCGCCCTGGCATTCATCACACATCTGGTCGTCTAGCACATATGGCTTCACCTCCACCTAAAAAAGGAGATGGAAGATGACAACGTTTTAGCAAGTCTGCTTCAGAAATCATTTAGTAATAATCTAAAATATGCTGTAGAGAAAAAGATAACACAGCATTGACCACTGAGAAAGTAGGCAGTTTTGTTCTTGAACTAATCATTTTTTATATGATGTTTCATGCTCCTAATTGACCAGGTGATTAAATAAGCACTTGTCTAGTAATTTTGCTATATGTTTGGCAATGTAATCCTCAGAAGATTATAAACTGAATGGTATTTACTGTATTTTCCAATGACAGAAAGTAATTTTAAAAACTACAAAAACCTGATTTCTAAAACATTCCACCCTGACTTTCCTGAAGTAACATCATAAAAATGCCTGTGCATTCATATTTTCAGAGGTTACTGTGAGTGAAAAAGCAGACAAAATGGTTTTTACATATTTGTCCCTTCGTCCCAATACCACCTGTGAGCTGGCACCACCCGGACAGCACCAACCTGGCAGCACTTCTCCACAGGTGAGCTGTACCTGCTTGTACGTAACTGGTTCAGAACCGGGGCCATGGATAATGTTATTACGGGCATGTCTAGACTTTTGTGGATTTATAAGATAGAAAGTCAAAGTCCCACTGTGAAGGCCTGACTTGCTAGAAGACCTCAGACTCCAGTAAGGTCTAATTGCTAAATCTCTTAATCTCATCTGTTTAATGAGGATTAAAGAACCTGCCCAACCCAGTGAAGACTAGATAATGCAAGTAAAACCATTTAGGACAGTGCCACTGTATATACTCTGTAAATTAACATTAACTACTATTAGCCAAGACAGCCTTGCTTTCTTGCTTTTTTCTGAACCAAAGGTTACTACTACCTTTGTCCGAGTGAACAGTGTTAGGCAGCCTAAGGCCTCAACCTTTCCTGAGGAGGGCAGAAAAACTGGAGTGTATTAGTAGTTTGACTTGAGATAAGGTAGTGTTTGTCCACAGTAAAAAATAGTGACCCAACAATTTCTACTCTGAATGTATTCTATTGAAATACTTGCATTTGTGCAGAAATTGTATATGTAAGGGTGTTTTCTGCTGCATTATTTGTAATAACAATAATTATAACCGGAAACAATCTAAAAGTTGATGAAAAGAACTGTAGAAAAAACCTTTCATAGGAAGGCAATGGATTCCATTGTTTATATTTGCAGTTCTTTTCATTACTTATTTCTGATTAATACTAATATCTATTTAACTTTGCATGTGTGAAACAGAGTTTCAACAATTCTTAACCTATTCTTATTTTCCATAATACCTTAGTAGCACATATCTGGAAAAATAAGCTTCTCTTAGGGATTTCAAAGCCTGTGTAAGAAGGCATGTTTCTCATTCACCTGCTCTGCATATGAGTTGCTATTTAAAAATCAATACTCTGCCCCAAATAAGGGTCCTCCATTCTCACTTTGGAAACAAAGAGGTAGGAGGTATGACAATGCAACAATCTTTTCCCTCTGCGTCTGAATATTAAACAACTACAAATATGTACAATACAAATAATTTCCTCTGTGACTATCACTTCTCTGCAAGAGTGGGGGTTAGCCTACATCAGTGGTCTACAGCATGGCTGCGCATTCCAATCACCTGGGGAGAACTGGCTGCATCCCAGACTATTTACAGCAGAATCTCTGGGTGGGACCCAGATGTCAAGGTTTTTCTAAAGCTCTCATGTGACTGTAGTGTGCAGCCAAGTTTCAAAACCACTGAATTAGAGAAATTCTAAGATTCAAAAAAATTTCATATTTGAATAAAAGCAGAGCCTATTCTCGTCCCCCCCCCCCCCAATATTTTAAGTAACAAGGGAAACAAAACACTCTGCATGTAATGAACAGAACTTATGCTGTACTTTTCTAAATGGCATGGTCAACTAGCATTAGTTAATCAACTCCCCTGTGCCCCAAATAGTCTTTTATTGTGCAAATAGTCCCCAAGAAGCAGCTTCAAAACATTGTTACACTGGAACATAAGAACGCACTTAAGTTAAAGCTACTAATTAGAATATAAAAAGTTAATTTACCTAATATTCATAGTATATGTCATCTGTACTATAAACATGGTAACTTTAGAATATTGCTTAGGTTTATATAGAAACAATTCACAGATTTTAGTATGAAATAGATTTGTAAATGAATAACTTGAGTTTTGTCCAATCCTTTCCCCTATTTTACTAGTAGAAGGTAATTGGTACTCAGAATTATACAATGGGGTGGCTAGTTTTCAGTTAGCATTAGTAGGACTTCCTGAAAGTTCTTATTGTGATGACCTAAAAATACTACTAAAGAGAAACTGTTTTAAAGTTTAGGATTATTATTTTGTATATGCAGTTTGTTTGCATATTTATTATTGTGTATCCTTAGATAAATATGAATACATTTTTATTTTAAACTAGAAGCCCAGTGCACAGATTCATGCACCGGTGGGGTCCCAAGGCCTGGCCTGCGCATTCTCGCAACCTGGGACCCTTTGGGAGATGTTGGAGAGCCAATTTCAGCCCGATGCCTACAGGCCAAGCCAAGTGACCCCACTGGTGCACGAATCTGTGCACTGGGCCTCTAGCAGGCATATAAGATCTTTGGTTAATCTCTTCCCGCCCTTCCCTTTCCCTGCTTCCCTCTGAGATTCATCCGTCTGTCCCATGTTTTCATGCCTGTGGTTTCCATTTCTGCGTTGAGCATCTGCCCCCCCCCCCCCCCCCCGTGGTGTTCAGTGCACGTCATAGCTACCAGCTGGTCAGCTGGTCCCTTAGGCTTTTATATATATATAATTTATAACAAAAGAAAAATAAGTAGCACTTAAATAGCATTTAGTACCAAGCTCTGTTCTCAGTGCTTCAACATATGTGAATTTATTTAAGCTTCAAATAACTGTGAGCAAGCATGGCTCAGTGGTTGAGTATCGACCTATAGACCAGGAGGGCATGGATCGATTCCCAGTCAGGGCCCGTGCCAGGTTGCAGGTTCGCTCTCCAGTGTGGGGTGTGAAGGAGGTAGTTGATCAATGATTCTCTCGCATCACTAATGTTTCAGTATCTCCCTCTCCCTTCCTTTATGAAACCAATAAAAATATAACTGTGAGGGTCATATTATTACTATTATCCATTTCATAACTGAGGAAAAAGCGGCACAAAAGGGGGTTAATTTGCCCAGAATTTCAGAGCAAATAGTGGAAAGGGGACCCCAGGCAATCTGGCTCCAGAGTATTAAACCAAGCTCTGCCTCTATGGTTAGAATATTAAGACCTTATTGGCTAATAACAGTTTTTAACATGCCTTAAAATATATTATTTATATTATACCTAAAGTTTAAACTATGTTAAAAACTTTGTCATTTCAGAGTTAAAGGAGTATAAAAATATTCAATGTTTGAATTATATTAACTCATCACTATTCTTATTATCAGCACCTTATCTAGGACAGAAGTGATTTCCCAATTGCAACTTACACGTTTATCAATATCACCATGCTGAAGCTGCACAAACCGAGCACTGATGGCAGCAATATAGCTCTGTTGATTGGAGAAAGCAACTCGACCAGCACCTTTAGGGTATTTTAGCTCAGGATCTGTATCAATTCCTGCATAACAAACTCCACCATACAGCCGGTCCATGATCATAGCAAGTTCCACTTGAAAAGAAAAAGAAACTTAATGAAATGTGAGAGAACACAGTAAATCAACAACATTTAAATGCTTTTTAAAAAAGTAAATGTCAATTTGATACATAGCTTTGATACCATTGTAATTAACCTAGTTATTAATAACTAGAGGCCTGGTGCACAAAATTCATGCATGGGTAGTGTCTCCTAGGCCTGGCCGGCAATCAGGGCCTATTGGGGCCATCTCACCCAGTCCTGATCGGGGCCCAACTGGCTAGGGCCTGCTGGCTGCCAGGCAGGGCCTACAGATTGGAGGAGGGACAGGGGAAGGTTGGCTGTGGGAGCACACAGACCACCAGGGGGCAGCTCCTGCATTAAGTGTCTGCCCTCTGGTGGTCAGTGTTCATCATAGTGGCTGGTCGATCAGTTTTTGTGGCCACTTAGGTTTTTAAATACATACATAGGAGAGATGCAAAGGGGGAAGCCAGCCATTATCGGCACGTCATTTGAACAGCTTCACTAGCAGCTACAACTTTATACTCCCCAGGAGACTGGACAAGACAGATACATGGCCAGAAAGGTGGGGGACCAGGGAAGGTGATTGCTGTCAGTCAGATCTGGGAGCAGAGGTCATTGGCCAGAATGGGCGTGGTCGCTGTAAGGGGACAAATTTGGGATATTTAATCCCCTGAACAAAGGAATTCACTCTCTATGTTCTTGGTTTCTCTTGCTGCTCTTGGGAATCTTGACGACTCTGGTCTTTGGGGCTCTCCTGCATTCACACCACACATGGACTAATGGACTGTAACTAGTCTGATGCTGAACAGGACCCAGCTCCAACATGGAAAGGAAACACTGGACACTGACTCTCCTTCTAGCTTTACCGAAGGGATAGGATTCCACAGAATTGGAAATAAGCTTTCTATTGTACCTCATCCTCCCAAGGGGGCTTCCAGAAATGCTTATGCCAAAGGTACCCCCCTTCCATCTGAAAACAGTTGAATGCTGTTGTTGTTTTTAAGCCAATCCCTTCACTTTACACTAGGATTCCAATTGCTCTCACTACAGAAGAATTACTTTAGCAAATCCCCTCTCAACTTTCTGTACAAGTGATTTTTCTCTTTTTACTGGGTCCTTCCCAATAATACTGTAATTTGTCCCATCCTAAAAATCTCTTAACTCTATTTATTCCTCTCTGTGATTGCTTCATTTCTCTATTCCCCTAATTGCTAAAAAAAAAAAAAAAAAAAAAAAAAAAGTTTTCTATACTCCCCAATCCCTCTCTTTTCTTCTTTGTTCAACCCTTCATAACCAAACTTTCATCCCATAACTTCATTTTAATTGTTCCTGTCAAGGTCATCTCCCCCACTGTCAAGTTCAATGGTCAATCTAAGCAGCATTAAATATAGTTCATCTCTTTCATCCCCTTGAAATATTTTCTCCATCTAGCTTCCAGGATGTTATTCTACTAACTCTCCTCCTACTTCATTGTAACTCCTTCCTGGTCTGCTTGCTAATCCTTCCTCAACTCCTTCACTTTTCAACATCAGAGTAGCCCTGGTTTCAGTCAGTCCTTGGACTTCTCTACAACTGTGGGTTTGGTGACTTGATCCTGTGCCATGGCTTTAATTACCACCTGTCTGTTCTCAGCTGCTACATTCCTCTACTGTGGGCCTCCCCCGCTAGACTCCAGATTCATCTATGAAACTGTCTACTGGACAACTCATATTGTCAATTTCACAGACACTGCAACATTCAGTGCATTCAAATGGCATTTCTGATCTTCCACCTTCCCATTAAACCTGCTCCTGTGAGTTTTTGCTGATTCAGTTAGTAAGCAATGGGAAAGATGAAGTTGTCAAGTCATGACTCTTGACTTTATCTTTTCCCCCACTGCACATGTAATCATGTGACCCAGATTTTCAAGCCACATCAAGAATCTAATCATCTCATCTCCATCACTAACCTCCCATTCCAACTTTCACCTGGATCATGGCAATTGCCTTATCTCTCTGCTTCAGATCTCTCCCCCACCCAAAGTTTATTTGCAAAAGAGCAGCAAGTGTAAGTCTCTCAAAAAATATACAGGTTTCCCTCACTATCTGAAAGTGGAGGGTTCCCTATGAAAACTTTTGTTTAGGTTGTAATTATTTTTCTCTTTGTCTTTCTTTTGGTTAGCTAAAACAGGTACTCATGTAAATGTAATGTAAGTACTAATGTAAAAGGAAGTAGCATCAAGTAAATCAACTTTTAAAAGGCAGATATACCTGTATTACGTAGCATTGGCTTAACTGAAATTTCTACTTAGGAGCTCTGAATGGTGCCACAGCTTTCAAAACCAAGACCCAAATCTCCCTCCAACTGGCTCCTTCTCCACTGTTCCTCAACTTGTACAAGGCACCACGATCTATCCAGTGTCTTAAGACTGAAAGCCGAGATACCACCTTTGCATTTCCCTTATAGTAGCTGTTCACTTGGCTCTTTCTCCACTACCACCACTAATCCAAGCCACTGCTATCTGAATTCTTCGATAATAGGCCACCAAATCTGTCTACTGTCTATTCTCAACTGGGCTCTCCTCCCGTGAGTGAGTCATTAAAATCAACTTTTAAAAGAGCAAATGTGATCATGCTTCCTTCTATTAAAACTCTTCAATGGTTTCCCCAAGCTCTGAGGATAAAGACCAAATTAACATATTAAACCTGTCTGCCCAGATTCCTGCTTATTTTTTCAGTCATCCCTGTCTCTCCACTCACTCCTTATACCCTGAGTCAGGCACTCTGGGCTTTTTCAGTCCCTCCAATGTATCTGCTTCCCGCCAATGAAAACCTTTGGATATGCTCTTTCCTTTATCTGAAACTCCATATAACCTTCCTGACCACCCCAAACTACTGTGCAGTCTTTACATGTCAGCTCAACTACAAGTATAATTTAAAACATCAGACTATATCATCTTCCCTTGCCATATGTTCTTCTATTCCTTACAATCTTTCCTTGTAGCAGTTATGTTTTATTAGTATTTACATGTGAGAATGGTTCTTTAACCTAAATCTCCCATACTGGGAAAGGGTGCAGCAATAGAAGGCACTAATATACTTTACAGGATATATGGTATCCTGAAACGAGCTTGTACAGTGGATATTTCCATCTATAATTACGTTTCTCTGACATCTTCCAGTAAATCTCTGGTTCCCGACGACACACGTTATCACTCACTTATCTAAAATGTTAATATTTTAAATTCCAAATTTCTTCCTCAGATATGAAAATCAATCCATGTCTTAGCAAGTTATACTTAAGAAGTCAGAAGTATTTGAGTGGATCTTCCTTATGAGTCTGTTTGGAGTTAGCTATTAATATCAAGAGATGACTGCTCAATTTTCTAGTTACTAGATGATTTCAAGAATGGTTCTCAGAATTTGTCTCAGAATTCTGTAGTTAGCAACTACTGGAGCATGAGGAATCTGCCCCTCACCTGCCCAACATGCCATGTACACAGCAGCTACCAAATATTTACTGAACCAATTCATATTTAAGTGATTTTTAAAAGAGCACAATTTGTTAGTATTGTACTTACCAGCTCTCAGTGGTCTAGGAACACCTCCAACAAAAATTGTTTTCCGGGGATCCAGAGGTTGAGAACCATCCATCACAAAATCACTATCACTTAAATTCCAAGGACGGATCTGAACCTATTTTAAAAAAGGACGGTATTTTATTGAGTCTTATTCCTTTTACAGCTTATGCTATTTTGCAGCACTGGATTTTTCATTGTTTAAAATTTTAGGTAGTAGAATTTAAAAACAAATTATTATTTTTTATCTAGGAATTGTAAATTATACAAACTGTATCTTAATATGGTGTTTGAATTGTTTTCCACTAATAATCATTTCAAAACATTTTTGGAACTTATTTTTGTAGCTTAGAGTCCATGTGGTGCTTACTTACTGGTTTGTCTTTGATGGTGGGGCTGGAAACACACAGATAGAGTTTTCCATCTTCTTCAATGCAAGCGTCAATCAGTGCCTGAACTGAGCTCTCTTCTTGAAAGAGAAGGAACGCATAGCCTGCAATAATCATGAACAATGAGGCAATATGTTAAGTGTTTGCACCCCAAATTTCATTACTGTTTAGAAAATATAAGTTTTTATTAAAGAAAAAATCCTATAAATAGAACTAGCATCATTATATTTTCTATAGGAGAACAAATATACTATTGGAATGCCCATGAAAACATATACTCAGTAAATTAATTAGCTACTTTATATGTAGCATTTACTATTAAGTACCGTGCTAAAAGTTTTACATCAACTATTTCATTTGATGCTCACACATCTATGGAACATTATTCCCACTTTATAGAGAAAATACTGAGGTATCAAGTGGTTAATTACTTGTTTGACATTAGTAACACAAGCAAGCAATTGTCTGAATAATTTCAAACTCTGGGCTGTCGCATTCTCTTTCTAGCAATGATACTGCCTTCTCAAACCATTGGAATGATTAATCAGTGGAGCATAATAGGGCCTGAAGTTTTCTTTAAATGCCCTTAGGGTACCAAGATCTAGAGCACACTTTTGGACTACAGAACATGTGGAATGGCCCAGGAATTTCCATAAGCAGAGGGAAAATCCCCCAGGCAACTTGACAACTTTTACATAATACTAAATAACTATCTTAGGAAGGCTGGAATAAAACAGGTTCCTTCAGTATGGGCCAGAACTTTGAAATCAAGTCTCAACTTGGACAAATAATTTTTTTCAGTCTAGAGACTATTTAGACTTGTAAATCCAAGCTCTTGCTTAAATTCTTCTATCACTGGGAAATATGCACTTCCTCCTTTCCTTGGGATACCAATTGTCAATCCTTAATCAGCCATGTATCCAGCAGGCAAAGCAGACTTCATTATAAAATGGCATCAACATTTACATTCCTGGTGTACTCCTTTGTGATTTCCCCCAGCAGCTGATAGCTATGAATGATCTAAAAACATCCCTTTCCTTGACAAGATTCCTGTGCAAACAAACATGGAGACTGCCACCCTGTCCTAATATGAAGAAGCCATCAAGCAGTCCATGCACATCTGTTCCAATAAACAAAGGGAAGCATGAGGTCATGTTTTACATAGAAATCAAAAACACTGCTTGCTGCCAACAAAAGCTTTTACTGCCACAAAGGTCTGATGTGACACAGAAGTACTTCATTTTAATAAAATTACATTACTCGATGGCATAAATAAGACATCAAACGGACTCACACAAATAGAAACTTCCAAAGGTACAATTATGCAAGATTAAGAAATGCATTTTAGAACTGTTTTAATTACTAGAAGCAATTTAAATATGCTTGAATTTTTTTTTTAAATAAAGACTGGTTTTCTTTAAGTGAAGGCTTTAATTTTGATACAAAGCTGAGCATTTGAGATCTATAACTGTTTTATAATAATAAAGAAAATATAAGGCTAATTTACTAAAACAATATTTAAATTCAATATTTTTAATGCTTATGTTTTGTGATATTATTTTTTGATATAATTATTTCCATATTACTTAATTTAAAAACAATACTTTAAATTCAAAATTTTTAATATTGCTTAATGATTTTGTGATTATTAGGGAAGAAATGTTTATATTACAAAAATTAATTAAGCAAACATGGCAAATAAACTATGATCTAGCTAAGGAAAGCCATTAAAGATTAAAATACTCTTATCAAAAACAAACCATCTGTGGCTCTCTAGAATTTATTAGAGTAAGCTAATATTCACACAGGTGAATCTCATTCACTGCAGAGTGAAACATACATACGTGTGTGGCTCAGTATCCAGGGCTCGTCACTGCCTTAATTATAAGGTATCTTCACAAACTGAATGCTTCTGCACCAGTGTTTCCCAAATCATGAAAAATTATGACTTACAGGAATGATAAAAATGCTTGAAAGAACAAGGTTTGGGAATACTGGTCTTTGGCAATGGCTACAATTAACTATAATTATACAAAAAACAAACAAACAAACCAAAACTATGATTTGCCATGCTATGTATATTTTTTGTTTTAAGTATGAGGAAATAAACTGACAACCACCTCAAAAACCACATAACAGTCCTGGCTGGTGTGGCTCAGTTGGTTGAGCATCGCCTTTTACACTGAAAGATTGCCAGTTTGATTCCCTGTCAGGGTACATGCCCAGGTGGCGGGCTCAATCATCCATAGGGGGAGTGCAGAAGGCAATCGATTGATGTTGCTTTTCACATCAATGTTTCTCTCTCTCTCCCTTTCTCTCTCTCTCTAAAAATCAATAAAAATATTAAAAACAGACACAATGACAACAGTCACAAAGACAGCAAGTATTCTGTTTCATTAAATTTGTGCCAACCCATTTTCCTAGGCTTATAGTTCACCATCCCCTTAAAGGAAGATGAGACTCATGTAAAAAAAAAAAAAAAAACAAACAAAAAAAAAACATTTATGTCTCCACAAAAACCAATTCTAATTCCTTTTTAAAATTATATTTCAATTCCTGCCTGGAACTCTGTTCAACTATCTAAGTTGCACAGCACCATTTGGGTTTAGTTTTGTTTTATTAGAAAAGAAGACACCAAGTAATTTATATTGTCTCTTTTGCTTAGATATAACGGATTCCCTAGCAAATATAAGCAATGAAAACCCTTACCTTTCGGTGGAAAATAGGACTTGCTTTCTGCTTTGTGAGGCCAATCTACTACCAGAGGTCCAAATCTTCTGAAGCTAGCGGTAATTTCATCTTAAGAAAATATAATAATATGCATTAGGAATTTGTTTAAGAATTCACTCTAAAACCCCTTATTTTGTAAGTTACTTTAAATATTTAAATAAGCCTAAAATAAGTTAGAATATAAATATTAAAAACATGTTCAATATCCTTATTAAAATTATTCATAAAAATAGATATTTTGTCCAAATAAATTCACTTCATAGTAGCATATTTGTCAGAATCAACATAAAATGATATGGATAATAATAAATGTATAGAATACCAATCCTTAAATATCACTGGCTTGAAAACCATGCCAACATTATATTAAATTAAGAGATCCATTACTGCTTGACAAGTAAAATCTTGTAGAAAAAGGAATGCTAAAACAAGATGTGAAAAATCTATAATACTCATAAAACAGACTAAAGTCTGACACAGGTCAGGTAGTTTCATTGAAACACATATAAGCCTAATCCTGTATATACTCCAGGTAATTTCAGCCCATAGAAACCTTATTACATTGATTGATTGATTACTCAGAATAATCTAGTAGTTTATTGCATCACTGGACTACCTACTAATTGTGCAAGAGAAGAGCACCAAATCATCAATGTACCTTCATCAATATCTGGAGGGAGGCCACCAACAAAAACTTTTCGAGAGAAGCGTTCTATTCGCTCTCCGTTTTGATGAGCTGAGTAACATGCGGGTGAGTTTAAAATCCCAACTTGATCGTTATGACCATCATCCAGCAAGCCATCATCGATTGGGAAGAGGGAAGAACGACCTAAAATATAAGAACAAATATAACTTGAATATCAGATCTGAAAAAAAGAGTAAAAAGAGCAATGGCAGATTCAAAGGCTTAACAATGAAGGGGACATATGCATAAAAGTGAAAGGAAATTCAGATAGTTTGAGGTTTTACTTACTTAGATTCGAGAGAGAATGAGTAATACTGACTTATTTCTAAGTCAGTCTGAGAAATGACTTAGAAATAAACAGTAATATGACACACCACAAACACTAGATCACTTCAAATTTTTTGGAAAGCAACAAGAATCTAATATATAGGATGGTCAGACTGGATATGTAATTGAAAGAACTTTTAGAAACTGGTAGCAGAAAGAAAATGACTAACAAGATAAGAGGACATAGAAAAAAACACTTGCAGACTAGAGGAAGGACAAGAGCTTCTGCACATGTGCAAAACAGAAAGCCACTCCCTCTGGGCTTCGGTCCCCAGCTGAGCTGGCCCTTTGGGAGCACAACCTATTGGAGGGCACATCTTCTGCAGCAATCATGATGCTAGACCATGTGGGACAAAAAATAAAAATGACCTGATAAAACACATTCCCTGCTCTCCAGGAATGTGCATTAGGAAAGGAAAGATCTCTCGATGCAGCTGCAGCACATATCCCCAAGAACTTCACAATCTTCAGAAGTATGGTGGAGGGAGTAGTCGTCTAAGCTTATAAATGGGTAATTTCTTAAATCCTCAAGTGAAACTGAATAGCATCTGTGGTGAAATTGCAAAGGTAGCAGTGCTTACTGAGAGCATTAGAAAGGGCAGGACATTTAAAAGTAAAAATATTTGTAGGAACATGGTTTTGAGTACAGTTTTCAAGTGGGAGAAAAAAACTAAGAGAAAGTCAGAAAAATAAATTTATTTGAGAAGTAATCAAGCTGGAAAAGCACTTTAAGGTGAGAGTGCCAGTTTAAAGGAGATATTTCATTAGTGGGTGAAGGAAATAGTGATACAGGGGTTTAAGCAAGATGATAACTTTTTTCTTGTTCTTAAGAAGACTTAGCAAGTATTTGCCATCAGAAATAAGGACTAATAGAAAACAAATAACAATTTTTCAAAATGAGCTATTTTATTTTACTTAACAAAATCAACCTCATCAAGGTCTATTAAAAACAATATTAATTGCAACTAAATGGTTCAACTTTCTAGGATTGGATTTTAAATAATTCTATATTTTAAAAAGGAATAATGTAAGATAGAGAAACAACATGAATACTAATTTTTTATTAAAATGACAGAGCTAAGTGTTATATTTATTTCAGATATGACAATGCTTTGAAAATTATTTCATTTTAAAGTGTCCTAACATACACACAAATTTAGCAGTCGCATGAATACAACAGTCTAACAGATTTTTATGAGAAAATATGTAGATCATAAATAATTAGGGTTCATGAATGCAGTGACTAAGGAAGTCACTAGATAAACAATGTCAGATAGAGGGGTGACTCAAAATGACACTTTTTATACTAATTATGATACTGTAAGTATAATAAAAACTACATTGACAATTATTCCATATTGCTAACTATAATAATGTTCTAACTATAATAAAATATTATAGTTAATAAATAGCAAATATCTATAATCTATTAACCAGAACAAAAGATATAGTGAAGAGGCTAAAAACATATCACATACTAGCCACACTAAGAATCTTCCTTGCTAAAAAATAACTGCTTTTTTTCTAAAGCCATAAAAGCTATAGTTATTTAAAAGAGAAGTTAGCTGAGTAAATACCACTACCAAAAATATTACTTTTTACCTTGCTAATTATGCTTTCCTATAACCCAAATTAATTTGATTATAAAAGGGAACCACTTAATAATTATGTATGTCTTCCATATGCAGATGTTTTAAACATATTTTCCAAGAATTATATATATACATATATTTAGTGCATGCAAATGGCTAGCAATAAAGATAAAATTATATGTGCTTAAGAAAGTAGAATTGTTCAAAATTTGATTTGGACTAAAATATTTACAATAGTTTTCAGCCAAAATTAAATTACCTTTCTTCTTTTTTACTATGAAACTAGGATGTGTTTTCAGGCTTTTATACCCAAAAGAGTGAAACTGAATGATAATAAAAGCACAGTATAAAATCTGTGGGATGTAGCATATGTAGAGAAAAATCTGCATACTTAGCAGAAAAATTAGTTTTAAATGCATATTAGAGAAAAAATATTTAAAGTAATCCTAGTTTATGTCTTAAAAAGAAAAATAGCAAATTAAAAACAAAAAGAATTCAAGAAAGAAAAAAAAACAAACAAACATGACATAAAAAAGACTTCTACTGTTTATAGATGGTTTGGCTCAGCCTGCAGACTAAAGGGTCCCAGGTTAAATTCCGGTCAAAGAGCACATGCCCAGGCTGTGGGCTCGATCCCCAGTGTGGGGTGTGCAGGAGGCAGCCAATCAATGATTCTCTCTCATCACTGATGTTTCTCTCTCACCCCCCTTCCCTTCCTCTCTGAAATCAATAAAAATTTATTAAGAAATAGAAGACTAAGAGAAAGATAACCAATAAAGCCAAAGTTGGCTCTTTAAAAACATCAAATTTATATATCCCTAAGTTTAAGAAAGAAAACTCAAATTACGAACACTAGATATGAAAAAGGGGACACCCATCAATACAATCTATGAACATTAAAAGGCTAAAATGGAAATATTTTAAGCAACGATCCTAATAAATTCAACAACTAGAGGAAATAAATTCCTTAAACAAATAAGCTTTGAAAATTGGCACAAGAACACACACATACACACAACAACAACATATAAATAGATACAGAACTGAATAAACTTTTGTTCTTTAAAAATCTAATTCATTCACCACTAAACCCATGTAGGGCTGAAGCTTTCTTTGTAGAAAGTTTGTTTTTAAATTATAGATTTCATATTTTTAACAAATTTAGAACAATTCACACACATACATGTGTATAAACATAGTGAACACACAAATGAAAGGCAAATCAAAGTTTTGCAATAGAAAAAGAGACAAATTATAAGAATAAACATAACGAAATATGAGGTTAGTTATAACTAAGATTACACTGAGCTTCTAACTCTGACTGTGGTGATATGCTAATCATGTGCCTAAACATTAATACTTATACTTGACTATTCATATTTTTAGTCTTATTCTGGAAGCCCAGAATAAAGATATTTCCCAACATATCAATGGGGAAGGCAGCAAAGAAAAAGAAAACATTTGCACAATTATTCAATTTATAGCTTGAAGCATGGTTCTTTGCTCTCAATGCATTATCCTGCTCTTTTATTTAATAGTTGTTCTAAAAATAAAAACAAGACAAATTATATGAATTAATTATGAATAGGAATATTCACCCCAATTTATAAGATCCAGAGATCATTCTTTTAGGGTAGATGACCCACCAGTGTGACTTTTATGTATTACTCAAGGATAAAAAAAGACTATCAAAGCAAAAGTAGGAGGAGCAGGACTGATCTCTCCCAAACATCACCTGCTTAATCAGAATTACTTATCAAATCAAGCATGTTTCACCAAAGAACTTAGAATAAAATTATAAAGTGCTCTTATCACTCTAAAATATTTTGCCCCAATAATAAGTTTATTCTTTCCTCATAGAGGATGTAATAAGATATGCAAACTGAATAGAAAGGGGGAAAATGAGTAAAAAATAGGAAGAGAACCATTCCTTTGGCATATTTTTTTGTTGTTCTTATTTTTTTTATATTACGGTATAAAATATTTTCAAATTCATATAAAATCTATAGATAGCTATTTTAATGGGCATTCTTTTCATCTGACCATCAAAATAAAAATTTTAATGCAGACTTCTACTGTTTACAGAATATCAACTAAAAAAATTACTGAATGCTATATAGTTTGAGATGTAAATTCAGGCATTATATCTTCCCATAAGCTAAATAAGTGTGACAATGGTGACTTCTGTCCCAAAGAAAGCTTCTACTTAAAATCATGTGAGAGTTCTCTTTCTTCCAATAATGGAGGCAACTTGAAAGCAGAGGAAATCTTTATGACTCTCAGAGGATAGAGATATTTAGGAATAATAGCAAGTTCCTATCTATATAAAAGCAAAAACTGTTGCTTTTTCTTAATATTATATAACCATAGTCTACAATTATAGCACTGAGATGAAAGAAGACAAACAAAATGATCGATCGTCTGTTAACTTTGTCCTAAGAACTTCCTAGATCATGACATTTACACTGGCATATGCCTAATAAGACTAAACATACATTGATAAGGCTAATTAGATAAAAAGTATATAATAATAATAATCCTAAATTGCTCTATAATTTCAAAAATACTTTAAAATCACAACTTGGTAAGTGGGTCTTTTTGCAAGAGAACTGAAGCTCCATATTAAAACAGCACAGTGAAATGAGACAGTCTATAGATATGAAAATAGATACCAAAATTCTAAAAATTCCCCCTCTTCTCAGTTGCTAATAACAATCTTTAGGAAGTTATTTAGGTTTTTTTCTATCGCTCTAGTTTTTTAGATAGAAAACTAAAGAATCAAAAAATTCAGTCAAGCATTTGAAGCTTCAGATTCTAAAAATGTTAAATTTAGACAAAGAAAAATATAAAACCAGAAATCCAACTTAAGAATTCAAAATACCAGTCTCTGTCCTCAGTGGTGGCAAATATTTTTTCTTGTTTGTTTTCAAAGCACATGCACTCATGACTAGATAAAAAGAAACTGAAGCACTCACACGCATGTAATATTTATGAAAAGGCACTATTATTGTCTATTCTCCATTGCTCAAGGAAGATTTTAGGGGTCAAGGAATATTCTTTCTATTTAGTTTGCGCTTTTAACAACTATGTAAATGTCATGATTATTGCTCACTTAAAGAATAATGCAGTTAACGTTTTTTACTTCTTCTCAAGCCAAAGACATTTTTCCCTCTCAAATTCTGCATATGAAAAAAAAAGAAAAAGAAGAAAAAAAAAAAAAAGGCC